TGCAGAGATTGGTTTCGTCAGTTCAAAGATGGAAATTTTTACCTGAGCGACAAGAAGCGTGAAAATCGGCCCAGGAAGGTTGAGGACCATCAACTGCAGGCTCTTTTGGATGAGGACGATACCCAATCGCAAAAAATGCTTGCCGAGCAATTGGGTGTTACTCAACCAGCCATTTCCATGCGTCTACGTGCCACGGGAAAGATTCAGAAGATTGGAAAATGGGTGCCGCATGAATTGAACGATAGGCAGATGGAGCGATGCCAAAACACATGCGAAATCTTGCTCGCCAGACAAAAAAGAAAGTCGTTTCTGCATCGGATTGTAACTGGCGATGAGAAATGGATATATTTTGAGAATCCTAAACGCAAGAAATCGTGGGTTGATCCAGGCAAACCATCAACATCTTTCCCAAGACCAAATCGCTTTGGACGGAAGTGTGCGTTTGGTGGGATCAGCAAGTTATTGTCTACTATGAGCTATTGAAACCTGGCGAAACTGTCAATGCTCACTGCTACCACCAACAACTGATCAAATTGCAACTGTGCTCTGCGTGAAAAAAGGCCGGATTATCAGCAAAGACACGACAAGCTGATTTTCCTCCACGACAATGCACCATCGCACGTGTCAACATTGGTCCGAAACTACTTGGAGACACTCAACTGGGAGGTGCTACCCCATCCCGCTTATTCACCAGACCTGGCCCCTTCCGACTATCACCTCTTTTCATCGATGGGCCACGCGCTTGCTGAGCGGCACTTCGATTCTTATGAAGATGTCCTAAAATGGCTTGATGAGTGGTTTGCCTTGAAAAAGAAGAAATTTTTTTGGCATGGTATCCACACATTGCCCTGGAGATGGAACAAATGTGTCACTAGTGAGGAAAAGTATTTTGAATAAATTTGTTTTTGCTTTCTAAGAAAAAAAACGTGTGTTTTTCTGACTAAAAAAACAGCGGATTTAAGCTTATAAACCTATGTATATTTATATTAATGATGTCTCCAAAGTTCAGTGAATTTTTTGCAGAAAAATAACTTATCAGGAAACATGCGCCTGCTGTTCGATGAGCCGCTCCGTGACGAAAACAAGCTTAAGCAATGACGTTGTCAAACGGCGCGCACTCAGTAAATGATCCTACAATTTTTTTTTTTATAGCATAGTTTATATGAATTATTTCCAAAAAATTATATGTATTTTGGAAATTTGAGTCAAATTAGTCTAGAATCGATTAATTTTACGGAAGAAAACCTTTCAAACAGCCGTAGCCACTAAGCAGCACACGTGCCGGGCTGTGACTGGATCACGTACAACACAGAATTCACATAACACGGAATGTATCTACCACACTATAGGGGTCTACTGTATATACATGCACCTTTTTTTTATTGTGAAAATTGCAATGACAGATAGTTTGCAACATGGAAAGCATTTTTCATGTTTTCTAAATATGCTCTTGGTAAGTTTAAACAAAGAAAGCCCCATTTACTGGGTTTGTAATTGCAAGTTAAAGCTGGCAGTTAACTTGCATCATTGCATTACCCTCAATCTGCTTTAAAATTGACTTAAACATAAGCACAAAATTATAGTACTTATTAAATCACTGATATAAATAAATTGGTGGAAAGTGCATTTTTATAAAATATGGAACAATTTTTCAAAATACTTTCAATAATTTTTTTTATAATTTAATTCATTGACTCTTCACTCTGTCACATAATTTATAATGTTTAATGCCACATATATATTCATGTATTTATGTTAATTTTAAAAATAAGTAAAAACCTCCTTAATTATAACAATTAGTTATATATATATTAAAACTTACGTCCTCCTCTCATTCCTCCACCTCTTCCTCCTCCTCCACCACCACCACCTCCTCCTCCCATACCAAAGTTCTGAGCTTTACGTTGTGCCAATTGAACAGTGATGTTCTTTCCTTGAAAATCTTTTCCTATTTAAACACAAAATTTATATTTTATACATAAGTAAGTTTTATTTGCAAAACTAATTGATATAACTATTAGTACAACAAATATAAATAACAGTACTTTACTGAAAACAGTTTAAATTATCTTTTCTCTCAGAAAAATATATAAGTTTCAATTACTTCAACTAAAAAGTTTTAGGGGATAATACAAGATAAAAATTTGTGTAATTTGTTAACTGAATAATTTTTTTAATAGATCAATTTACATCCATTAAGGACAGTTTTCTTAAAATAAGAAAGTTTGAATTATTCCAATTTAGAATTATTACCATTAAACCAGCTAATAGCAGAAGTTGCTGTAGGTGGATCATCATAAGTGACTGTTGCTTCACCTTTTCCTTTTCCAGTAATTTTATCTTTATAAATCCATATTTTTTGCTTCCCTGTTCTCTTATCATTCTGTAATAAAATAACATACTGTATAAGACAAATAACCAGTTTTGTCTGGAAGGCTTTACTTGAATCATAACTGATATTTTACCTTTATAACACCAATAGACCCAAAGAATTCTGATAATTGCTGTTCACTCACTTCCTCAGGTAAACCAGAAACAAATATAGTATCTTGTATTTCTTCTCCACCGTCTGAAATTATAAATCTCATCTATTATAATACATAAGACGAGGTTTATTTGATATAATAATTTCTTTGTTTAATTCCAATGATTTATAAAGCCAAATTTTAATTAAAATGACATGCTTGCAATTTTTTACAAAATTGCTTTAAAACATTTATATATAATCCACCTACTAAATCAACTTCTCATTTGTAATTAGTATAAATTTAATTAGAAAATATTAAAATTGTATTAGTACAAAACAATTAAAAAGTAAACTTATTAACTAATAAAACAGAACTGAAGAAGCAATAAAAGATTATGTTTAATATCTGTACATGACTGAAATCTTGAAGTATTTTTTATTTTCAAAATTAAGTTACTCAAACAAATTTTGATTTTAGGTTGTATCGACAGCAACAGCTTTAAGATAACTATTTAAACACATTTCATTATTATAAATTTTCTAACTAATGCTTAAAAGGTCTCTCTTAAATTCAAAATATAAGATTTACAAAATTCTGGTTTGTTAAAACCAAAGACTACATAATTACTGATTTTTCAAATAAACATGCATTTGATTTAGTTCAGAAAATTGAATCATGCAATAAGATACCAACATTTTTATTCAATAGTTGGGCTAGACAGAATGAAGTTAGTGTGGCCTACAGCATGCTGTTTGGAAATTGATTAGTCTGGTTATAATTTATAATTCCATAAATAAAAAATTGTCCTATTAGTGCATATTGAAATCCATTGAGACACAATAAACTTAAGAGATATATATATTTATTTATTTATTTAAGTTTCTTCTTCAAAGGTTTTCACTTTTTAAAATATCTAATAGCTTCATTAAAAAATAAGATTTTATTGCTAATTTTCAGAACTTCAAATATTTCATGCATTTTCCAAACTATGATATTCATCTAAAATGTAGAAAACCTTGTCAAGCATATATTTTTTGCAATAAAATATAAAGTATACTGAAACTCATCATTAATTTTATAAAGTATGTAAATGATAGAAAAATTATATGACCAATTTTTAAGAAATGATGTAAATTGAATCTAATAATCAACTGTATTCCATAGCTACTGGCAATTATTGTATCATTCTAAGTTCCAATATTGAAAATCAGTAGCCCTTCATAAAATCATTTTTTGATGTATCATGCTTTTATTTTGTCTTCCAAATATAAGTATTTTAGCCAATAAGTTTAAAAAAAATTAGTTGCCATTGAATTTCTACTGCAAAGAAATACATTAAAATTATGTTGTAGGTTGTATTTTAAAAAATTTAATTAATAAACATGCTTTTATTGGTCAAATTTTTTAAAAATGGAGTAGAGGATAATAAGATGATCCAATTCCCACCATATGTATCAATATAATACATTTATAGACATACATCATTATATATTTGATTATTTTTATGAGGATTTCAGATGAGGTCCATCTTCCTAAATCATTAAATGCATTGCCATCAGACTTAAGTATATCCTCAAAATTTCAGCCTTCTGTCTTAATTAGAAGTGGAAGAAACTTGAATTGAAAGATTTGAGAACATGATACAAAGAATTTAATAAGCAAGTCCACAAAAAAGTAAAATAAAAATGAAAATAGACAAAACAGATAAGTACAAACATATATCAAATTATTTAATATGATCATATATATATTTGTAATTTTGTTACTTTTGTTAAAATTTTAATTTTAACAATACAATAACTAATACTTTTGTTAAAATTTTAATTTTGAAAGAAATTTAGAGCAATAAAAATCCATTATCTGTTCTATCAACATAACTATAATCATAACTTAAAAATTTTAATTGTGCCATTCAATTCTCTTCTCTTTATTCATAGAAATTTAAAACTAAATTTGTACTTCATAATTTATTTCTTAAGATACTAATTATCAATTTTTGTCCCATTCTTTTTAAAAATAAGAAAATTTCAATTTCTTTTCTAGGCCTTGCTTGCTACCTTTTTGAAATCTATATACAAAAGTCATCCAGAAAATAATGTTTGGCCATTAAAAAACAATAAATAAATAAAAAGGGTACAAAAAATAACAACCTATAGGATAACACAGTAAATATTGATAGAAAAGGTTGAGTTAAAAATAAAAATTGGATTTTAATGACTATCAAAAGTTACTCAGACTAAAATATGTTCATGCCCCCAATATCAATTATAAAAATGATTACAAAACTTCTTTGTAATACTTAAGATGGTAAATACAATAGAACTTAAATCTTTTCAATTAAGAAACAGATAAATGAGACAACTTTGGAGTCGGAATAAAGTAATAGATGATATAAAGTTATCAAATTAACAGTAGATACAAAGTGCAAAAAATTTACTCATACATCCCTCATTACATCAGGGTCATGTGGATGGCTCACTGAATTGTTACAAAATTTCATCACAAAAAGTTTATCAACTCTCTGTACAAAATGATAGGGAAACTTAAGAACTTTTGAACCAATAACTTCAGAATAGATCATTGATTGGATCCAAAAGCAAAGTTGATTACATTTCCATAGACCAACCCCTATCTATCAACACCTAATTTGTTGAAATATGCCAAGAAAACTAGAAGAAGGTTGGCTAACAAAAATCTTCTTAGCATAATTATATATATATATTAGATAATGTATGGCCAACAAAGTACAATGGATGCTCAAAAGCTTCCCAGCTGAATTTTCAAAGTATAGCTTGAGTTATTACAACAGAGTAAAAGTACACCACCAAGTGACTATGGCTATGTTAAAGCAAAATTTCTCTGTTATATCATCAATAATCAAAACATTTTAATAAATACTAAAAATTATTGAATATATAAAAAAGATATGATAAATCTTCAATGTTAATCATTAAATTACTTAAAATTCTTCATGTGTCATGCCAATTTAAAATACTAGTTGTGCCCAAGCAAATAATCACATGTTATGTAAAACAAAATATTAAATGATAAAAGTTTGTTTTTATTTGGGAAATTTCAAAAACAAACATTTATTAAACGATGTATTATATATTTTTCAATATAGTATATTTGATGTTATAAAGTTAAAAGAAAAAGTGAATAATTTTGTGCTGCACAAACATGGTTTCAAAACTTTTTTTGTAACAAACTGGATTAGTCAATATAGAAAGTGGCATGCTCCCAAATCATTGAGTTCAAATTTTTTATACTTAATTTTAACACAAACTTTTTTGTTATTATTATGAACTAATTAATAAAACCTAAACTGGCATTAAAAATAAACCATATAGTTTCTAAGAATATATCAATGTGAAAAGACAAATTAACTGAAGTTGACAGTGTTTGTCTCTAGCAGAGAGCAAGAGAAGCAAATATTATCCCTTTTTTATATAAATTTTCAAAAAAGTAAGTGTCAATAACAGAATCTAAAATCTTGTGCTTTGCAGAAATGTATGAACTATAAAGATCTGTACATTAGTTTATCATATCCAAGGAGCATTAGAGATTAATTTTTATATGCCATTTTAAGTACAACAATATTACAAATTGTAAGCAAATAAATTACATAAACTAAAATTAATTATTGAAGACTGACTTAAAATTAATAAAATCAAATTTTATTATGTATTAACATTTTCACTTGAAAATGTTTAAGCAAAACAAAAATCACAAATTATGATTATGCAACAATTTTTGCAAGTTATATCACCAAGTAAAGAAACTCATATTTGGGAAAAATGTGCATTTAATAAATTTAAAAAATTACAGCAATTACATTTATGTGCAAATACAATTTTATTGTTTTTTTATACTGCTATAATTTTAAATGTAATCTAAAAATTATTTAGTTACAATTGTTTGGAAAACAATTTGCAAATTTTCTATTCAAATTCTAATAACATTTGTTCAAAATAAGATATTNGATAAATCATAATATATTGTATAAAATAAATTTTATGACGTAATGCACACAACAATTCCCCATTGGTAGAAAATTACATTTGAAATAACACGTGGATTCCTTCCGTTTTCGGAAATTTTTTCGAAAAATGGCACGTTACGTTTTTCAAAAACATTCGAATTAAAGAATCCGGTTATAACGAAAGCTATAAAGAAGCCAGCCTGAAGAAGATCCCAGAAGGGAAATCGAAAACGTTCGCCGATTTTAAAGAATTTCGCACCGGTTAATGGTTAATTGTAGGTAGTTGTTGGTTTGGAGTATAATTCTTATTCATTTCAAAGGCAAGAATTAAGGTGTCAGATATTGGTGTAAGCTATGATTTTAAACTTTTGTTCATTATTGACCAAAGAAATTTCTTTAATACTTGATTAATAACTTTAACCTTTATAGTACTGTAGTAAATGCATTAAGTTTTTAAATTTTAAAAAATTTGTAAATCTGTACAGAAGAAATCTAGAACTAAAAGAAAACATTAGATCCATTTTAACTTATTTATCAATTACTGAAATGTTCTATTCTTCCACAATTTCCTTTTTAAGACAATAATTTACCTTCTTTAAAACAAGCATTATAAATCACTTGGTGGGTTTTTTTAATTTCAAAAATATATTTTCTCAATTGCTTAGCTAAATTTTCAAGTTAAAATAAAAATCATAGTTTATTAAAATCTTTTCATTCAACTCATCATATATCTTATGTAAAAATAAAAAACTGATTTACTTGCTAGTGTACCCTTACTACTGAAATTTATATATATTCAGACTTTGCGAGAAGAAAGAATAGTAGCCTAAGGTTCTTAAAAAAATTGGAAGACTAAATACGAATGAAAATTTGATATCTTCACACATCCTTTTCAACCATAAGAACACAATTAACACAAGCAGAGTTTATCTTTCTTTTGAGGCTTTTCTCCACCTATGAATATGTAAATTGATTAAAAGTTCCTCTGGCTCGTTAATTCTGTTCTTAAAAATATATATATTATAACCAAGCATGTTTACTGTATT